ATTAAGAGAAAATTATTAAAGTCACAATCTTATTTATTAAACTCTAAATTAGTAGAATATATATATATATATATATATATATATATATTAATTTATTTTTTATTTTTTTCTAACAATCTTTGACTAATTCATGCATGATATTAAAGCAAATCAAAATCACACGCTACTTTGCTTCTTTTTTTTTAAAAAAAATAAAAAAATAAAAAAAATAAAAAATAATGTAAAAATATTTTTATTATTATTATTTTTATTTCTTTTTTTAAAAATAAAAATAATTTATAATCAAAGAAAATATATTTTTAAATGTCCAACGAGTTTCGTTTTTTTTTTTCTTAAAATGTCCAACAAGTTTAATACATTGAAAATATCTTTTTATTTTTTTATTTTTGTTTTTATTTTTTTTTATTCTCAAATCTTTTAAAACAAACTTACTAAATAAGACGAAAATCAAAATATCTAACTTAACCTAAAAATAAAATATTTAAGGTAATAAAATATTATTTTAAAAATAAAAAACAGTGTAAAAGTCTTACGTTCGATCAAAAATTACGTGTCTACAGCGGGTGTTCTAGATGCTTTAAAATCCTTCCTAGAACACTAATAAGAGCCCCTAACCCCTTTTAAATTTTCATTAGATCTCTGTTTTAATCTTCTGAAAAAATTTCTTGATTTTTCTTAAAAATTAAGTGGCGACTCTAAATCAATCTAAATATATTTTCCCCTGGACAAAAATCTCATACCCCTAGGACAGTTAATTTGGCACAGAAAGGGCAGTTAAAGAATCAGACATGGACAAACTCCCATACCTTCAAGCAGTTGTAAAAGAAACCATGAGACTTCGTCCAGCAGCTCCATTACTCTTACCTCACAAAGCCCTACACGACGTACAAGTGTTGGGCTTTACCGTGCCCAAGGGCAGTCAGATTTTCGTGAATGCTTGGGCTATTGGAAGAGACCCCAAGTATTGGGAAAAGCCATTAGAGTTTCTGCCTGAAAGATTCATGGAATCTAGTGTGGATTACAAAGGTAGGGACTTTGAGTATATACCATTTGGCGCGGGGAGGAGGATTTGTCCAGGAATGCCGTTGGCTATAAGAATAGTGAATTTGATGTTGGCTTCGATTATTCAACCATTTAATTGGAAGTTACCAGATGGAATGGCGCGGGAGGAATTGGACATGGAGGAACAGTTTGGAGTTACCTTAAAGAAGGCTATTCCTCTTGTTGCAATTCCTTGTATGAAAGAAAATAAGGTTATATTTTATGTCTTTATGTTTTATGAGTTTCGTTAGAAGTATATTTATGTAAGAAGTAATAAATTTTAATGAACTTCAAGCTCATGTATGAACATATTTATGGCTAATCAGTAGTTAAGAAGGTGTTTTTTTTTTTATCTTTAACTTAAATGAGAAAAATAAGAATATTTTCTGAAAATTTTATCAGGATCTTTTGGGGCCACAATGAGTCTGGATCTGACTTGTTGTTGGGCTATATCAGGGATATTTTCGGTGAAACCTAGGTAAATAATCTTTTTTTTTAAGAGGAAATTTCAAATTTTTAATTTGCCATTTAGAATAAATATATCTCATTAAAATTGCGCTTCATATATATCTTTGTCATTATACAAATAACTCAGATATACTATTTTCGGCTAACAAGAGTGAAACAATTGATTTTGAATTTATTATTTAGATTTTTCTATTAAAATAAAATTCATATTAGGGTATAATTTTTACCCTTCTTGTAAAGTTCATTGTAATTTTGATTCCTTCATTTTTTTTATTTTTTTTTTTGAATTTAACCTAACATGAAATTTAAGTAAATAAAGAAGATTTTTGAATTTATTGTCTTAATTAATTAAGGATATATAGAATGTTAAAATATTTTTTAATCTTGTAGTCTTAAATATGTCATATAGAAAATTGAAATTTAAAAATTATCAAAAAGAAAAGAAATATTCGTTTTTAAAACCAATTTATAGTTAATTAGGTAATCGTTTTCAAGCCAAGAAAAAATTGAAAACGAGGAGTACTATGTTTGACATTTGAACATTTGAAAAAGTTGTATTCTATATTCTCATTCAGTGTCCCTTGAATAGTATCCACAGTGGGGTATTCTCATCTTAGTCGTCTTTTAAACTCTTTTCTACTTATTTTATTTTAATATACATAATTTTGTTTTTTTAAAACTTTATAACTATACAAATATTAAACAATTTTTGACACTACACTAAAAATTTTTAGCGGTAATTAATGAACAATAATAACTTAATTGCAACTAAATATGTTCTTTTAGTGGCAACTAAATTATTTTTATGATAGCCGGAGAGCATAAGTAAACATAAAATCAAGTTTACTGATGCAAAAAAACAAATTTCTCTTTGGATAGAACAACTAAGTAGACAAGGGCAATGTCCAAAAGCTCCTTATTAATTTAAAGTTTCTTGTTTCCAATTTTTTTTAAAAACAAATGAGCCAAACATTACTTAAATACACTTGTCACAAATCACAATCACAATCACATTAATAAGGTAAAGAAAAACAATTGCAAATTAAATTAAAAGAAAATTATTTTACTTCCATACTAGGAACTGCAACAAGAGGAACAGCTTTCCTTAAGCTAACTCCAAATTGTTCCTCCATGTTCAATTTCTCCGGATCCATTCCATCAGGTAACTTCCAATTAAATGGTTGAATAATAGAAGCCAACATCAAATTCACCATTCTTATAGCCAGTGGAATTCCAGGACAAATCCTCCTTCCCGCGCCAAATGGAAAAAACTCAAAATTCCTACCTTTATAATCCACGTTAGATTCAATGAATCTTTGAGGCAGAAACTCTAGTGCCCTTTCCCATGACTTTGGATCTCTTCCAATTGCCCATGCATTCACGAAAACTTGACTGTCCTTAGGCACGTTGAAGCCTAATACTTGTGTGTCATTTTGGGCTTTGTGTGGTAAGAGTAATGAAACTGCTGGATGAAGTCTCATCGTTTCTTTTACGACTGCTTGAAGATATGGGAGTTTGTCCATGTCTGATTCTTTAACTGCTCTTTCTAGCCCTATTTCTTCGATTATTTCTTGTCGTACTTTGTTGAGTTCTTCAGGTTTTCGAAGAAGTTCTGCCATTGCCCATTTTGTTGTTATGGCCGATGTGTCACTCCCAGCAATGAATAAATCCTGTTGAAACGGAAGGAGTACTATTGTATTAGTGCCCCATATTCCTACCTATAAATTTAGGATTTGCCCTTGGACACGCCACCGTACGGAGAGATGAATTCACTTGATAGGAGTATTTTTGTCAAAGAGAAAATTAATAAATATGTAGTCCTTTACCACTAATTATTTTTAATAATACTACTATTTTGTACTATATATTTAACTCATTACCTATCAAAAATCATACTGTCAAATCACTACCGTATGATGACAACTTTGCTTTCTAGACCAAGAAAAGTTTATTTTCTTTATAACCACATCACTAGTCTGTCTAGATATTTTAAAAATAAAAATACTTATATTTTGTATTACAGCTAGCAGAATTCTTGCACAAAGTGTGATTTCATTATAACCACATCATTAGTCTAGATATTTTTTAACATCTGTTGTAACAAAGGTAGCATTTGGTCCGGGTACCGGGTTTGCTAAATATTTTTAACAAATTATTATATTGGTGAAGTTGTTGGGTTTTAAAAGGTGTAAATGGAAAATGAAGAGTTGCGACTTTTATGAAGAGTTGTGACTTTGATGAAAAGTTGTGACTATTATGAAGAGTTGTGACTTTTATCAAAAGTTGCGACTTTTATGAAAAGTTGTGACTTTTATGAAAGGTGGTGACCTTTCCGAAAGATTGTGACTTTTCAAAGGTTTGTGACCTTTCCGGTAAGGCACAATAAGAACCTTTTCACACTACCCTTTGTTTTCTATAAATTGAGGGATTTCCTCTCATTTTAAAGAACCAATTTCTGGACTTCTTCTTCTACTACTAAATCTAGTATTCTAAGTGTACTTTACTACCGTTGAGTGGCTCGCTGACACCAGCGTTTTGGGTATCAATACACTGGTGATTGAGATCATTCTATCCTGGGAGGTCATATTCCAAATCAAACCTCGGATACTAGAGGGGAATAATTTCCTTAAGGGGACACTGTGCATTCAGTGGGCTTGATCTTCTTTATGTTTTTCCAGATTCTGGTATGTGTTACAAATTTTATATTTGTGAATTAATTTATGTTCTTCTGTTCTTTACTGGTTCATTAAACTTTGGTAACTTCGTGTTTCTGCAAAGTTTGTTAGAATCAGTAAGATTCTTTAAACACAGATTGACAACAATTCTTCTTTAAGAAAAATATTCATATATTTTTTCTAATCTGTTTCTGATTCTAGTTTCTCTACTAGTTTTAATTTTCTAGTTGAGAAAAATGTTCTTAAACTTTATTGTGTCTTACCAAGTTCTTCAAAGTTTTGTTCTAAGTATCTTAGGAATATAAGATGAACAACAATCTTAAGGAAATTATTATAACTGTTGGTATTTCTGTATTCTACTGATTGAGAGAAACAGATCATGGAAGTAGAAGTTTAAGGCATTACTTCTCCATAATTTGGTGCTTTGTTTAGCAAGGTCGAAGTTAGAATGTACAGAAAAAATTGGTGCTATTCCGGTTAAAGATTACACCAGGTAACCTTCTTATTATTTATCTAAGGAGGAAAATAGTTTCTAAGAGTTAACAATTTTGATTTTTTATCATGTGTATCTTTGGAAAAAGATCTGCAAACCATTTGTTGTGGAATGAATTTTTCTTGGCAAATAGTGTTGCCTTTAAAATTCTTTAGTTTGCAAAATGAGAGATGCACATTTTTGTTTGATAAAATAGTATGTCAAAATGTTATAGTTGGAAGATTATTTGAAAAGAAAAACACTTCTATGTGATAAAGAATATGTTTAATTTTGTTTGGAGACTAAAAAAAAAAAA